GCTGCACGGCCCTTCTCTCGCACCTCCGCAATAGCAGCGTTGTTCCAGTCGGCCTCGGAGAAGACGCGCGGGGCCTCCTGGGCCTCCAGCACGGAAGCGCAGGAGGAGGTGACGACGATGCGCTTGACCGCGATGCCGTATGCGAGCGCAGACTCAAGCACGCGCGTCGTGCCATAAACAGCGGGAACTATGAGCTCGTCCGGGTCGTCCGCCTTAAAGTGGACTGGGGAAGCAGTGTGCTCGATGGCATCGACGCCCTTGACTGCCTCGTCGAATGCACCCGCCTAGCCGGACGCGGATGAGGCCGCGTTGGGAGTCGGTGGGTATATGCGCACCTTTGTGATATCCTCGACGATGACAACCTCGAGCTTGTCGCCGTAGGAAGCGAGCACCTCCTTCAGGTGTCTTGCCTTGCCTTCAGAACGCACAGTCCCTCGCACGGTGTAGCCTTGTTCGAGGAGCGTGCGTACAACCCACAGGGCGATGAAGCCATTGGCACCAGTAACGAGGACTTTGCCCGAGGTCACTGTGGGCATGACGATCTGCGGTTCTGGAAAGCGGTGGCTGTGGTAGAATGGGGGACGCACGGACGACCTTCGGGGATAGATCCTCGCTTTACATAGTGGTCCGTTTGTTTGTCAGACTCATCGGCGTTCGCGTGGATCCAGTGTTGATAACAACTTAACAAGAGACTGACGTTCGACATCTGCGTTGATAAGTTTTGCGAGAATTTACTTTGACTTGAGATAACGTTCGTTGATTCCTCCAGGAATACACTGGATCGTGGTTTGTTCTGGCACGAAAGGGTATTTAATAGCGGCAACAGGACTCGATAGATGCTGATACCGCTGTGTAGTGACCAGTGAAGCAAAGTTCTAGAGCTTGAAGAAAATCGAGTCGGCCACATAAGGCCCAGCTACGGATATTCGAGACTTTCAGGAGCGACCGTGATGGCACTTTATTAGGAGGAGGTCTGACGAGTATTTTGCTGCGCCCAGTACATCATATCCATAATGCTCATCAAAGGTCATTATCCTTTTCCTCCTCACGTGCACGAACAATGTCTTGAATGTTCCAACGCTCCAGCCTGAGCTCGACCGCTCCAAGCCCATTGCATTCATCTAGATCAACTTCCGAGCACAGCTCAAAGTAACTCACAAGCTTCGAGATGGGTAATCGCCTTCTGGCGTACGTGCACGCGGGAGGCGAATAAATTTTTCGAGATGGATCGTACCACTCCAGCGTCATTGTTCAGACCATTGTGATTATTTGTGTAGTGACCTTGCAAGTTCATTTGCGAGTCAATTGTGTAATGTGTTGATACTTGTGCTTTATGTTTCGGGTTCTAATCGCGCAATACAGGTTCGACCACTGGTAACATTATTTTCTGGTATGCAGGTATGATCAAAGCTGCCAGCGCTCGAATCATCCATATATTCGAATGACTTGTGACGGTGTTTTTGAGATGCTGTGTAGAAAATAAGTCTTTTTATAGGGAACTCCTGATCATTTTCATTCATACACCTGCCATTTTGTTTTGGTTTGAGACCGCTGTTTGAGAACGCTTGGGTGGACTGATCGAGGGATCCTCAAAATACGCCGCACCCGTGTTCATCTGAGACATTCATTTGGATGCAGGAGGGTAGCTGTGCTGCTCGTGTTATTCTTGGCTTATCTATGCATGAGTGCCAAATCTGGGTCGAATCACTTATAGCATGGAGCTGCTCAATTACAAGTGTCGCTGAACCTCGCGGTCGCGACAATTGCGGACACAGGCTCCTCTTACAATCGATGGTATTGGAATCAATGTGTGTATACTGGAGAGTTAGGAAAGTATGTTGCGCTTTTCTTACGGCTTGGAATTTCGTTATCTTCACTTTGTAAATGCAGGTACGACATCCACCAGAGGCAAACGAAGTGGCTTCCGAGCTTGCATCGTTCTGTTCGGAGTACTTCCTGTCCAAGTCCGAGCTACCGGTGATCGACGATAGCTTCGCCGACATATTCCTACGATATTAACATGGGTCTGATGGCGTGCTCACGTAAGCGCTTTCGTCGCTTGGTCGACCGACGATCGACGACTGGGGTTTCCGAATCGTTGGATCTAGAATCCGCTGATAGATTGGTTGTTCCAGTACGAAGCCATGTAGGTGGTTCTGCTTTCCATGTAATGCATGGAATTAGCTGCCACGGATGCATGCGGTTTGGAAGTGGACTACATCACGGGGCAATTTGGTCGCCTGAAACGAGCAATATGCGTATAACAATGATACTTCAGTCTTCCAGGATAGTTGCTCGGTGGTCCCAGTCGCAGCATCAATCAATAAGATTCGCAAAGTCCGTGTCTAGTGGCTTGTCATCTTGGGCGCTCTTAATCATGACAGCGGCCATGGAACTCCTTGAGTGCTGAAAACACCATGCGAAAGAAATCATGTACAAGTGCTAGGCATGATGAGTCCATCCAGGGTCAATTATATTGCGTTCTCTACATCCTGGGCAACACTGAGGAGACATACCGTGAACGTCCGAACTTCGATCATTTCCATGTGGATTGGAAAGTATTAATTGCGACCGGTTATTTGAGAGAGATTGGATGATGAAGGAATTTTGCTGATTATCTCTCTTGTCCAATTACTGAGCATTCTTTCCATGGATCAGATTTATGCTGGATATCATTTTGAAGACACGAAGGAAGTCGATACTTCAAGTTTGTACGTTTGTATCTCTTGCGGCGCGATATTATCACTAGGGCTGACTGTTGAATACAACAGAGCTTGTTATACTGTATCTCAAATTGAGTTTTTGACCAGTGCACCTTTCTTTCAACGAATACTTCAGCTTATCGGGATCGCAAGAATTCGCATCACCATCCTCTTCTATCATCCTGCCTCCCACGCCTCCTTGCGCTGCCGTGCAGTCACCCCCTCCGTGTAGACTCGCACGACCGCCCGACCCTCCCGCCGCCCACGCTCCCGCTCCCCTAGAGCGAGTGTTTTATCTCCCAGAACGCCCAGGAGAGGCCGCTCAATCGCCATCGCTGTCCCGCTTTTCTTCACCAGCAGAACCCTACACCGCCATGACGCACTTGTCTTCTCAATCGGGTCTGACGTGTGTCCTCGTCAGAGATGAAGCTGAAGAGCAGGATGCTAATTACATGCAAGAGAGCGAGTTACTAGCAGACTACACTTGATTACCTATAACTTTAGTTTAGACAGATAGATAGCCCTATCGCGAAATTAGACTTGCGGCACACAATTAGCGACTGTCCGAGCAAGGGTTTCGCCGCAGCATGCGGCGCTATTCGACTGTGCAATATTCTCGGCGTATTGGCCTTCCGAGCCACTTTTACTGCTGTGCGCGGCTGGGCGTGACAACGACCACATATGCGCCCGACCTACACTTGTAAGTATCAGCCAACCGCAATGCGATATGTCACTGACGCGAGTGTGATAATGGGTGACATTTCCTTCACAAATATACTGAATTTCTATTCAATTTCAACATGGAACTACATATTGAATAGTGCACTGCAACGTACCTTAGGCCTTCCCTGGCCGACCAGGCGCGGGTCGGATAATGAGCATCAAAGACATAATATTTGTTGTATATTGCAAAACAGATCTACAGTAGGAAATGATCCAAATTATAGGAAACTACTAAGCTACCATATATAGTCGTGCTAGAAAAACAACTGTTGTACACTCTATACTTATTGGATATAGTCCGCGATTAGTTGGGTCCGACGACAACTTGTTTGGTCTTGTTGAACCCTGCAATAGTCTCATTCGAGATTTGCAAGTGCGCCTGTACAAGCTGCGGCGGGATCAACGCGAGCCACTGCGAAAACAACGAGTCATGATCAGCAACAGCGTCAAGAACTGGCAGAACAAGTGGCGCGTACCTGAGCAAGACTGACATCTTGGAAAATATCTGTACACGAAAAGATCGTCTAAAGTCCTTGCAGACAAATCACGCTTCGACGCACCTGTATTGAAGATCTCGAGGAACTTCAGTGTGTCGTTCCCGGTATTCTCAACGTAGTGTCCTGGCAGTTGAGTCTGATGAGCACAGCCTGGAAACAGACCAGAGACTGAGACACATACCGTACGTGGCCGGGACGAACCCAACATCTCCGGCCTACATCACGAAGATCAGATAGTCCGCAACAGACGTGTGATAAGAGGGGCTATAGCATACCTGGAAGTCGAACGTCTGAGCAGTGCTACTCGATGCGAATTCTGTCACCCTGGCCGTGCCAGAGCTGAGGCCAGATGAGTTCCGAGCTCTCCTGCACAGACAAAGCAGACACTCACAGAAAGTAAGTCCATTCATCCTCAGTCGGATGCCACTGTGCGTCAATTTCATCAGACATCGGTCTTTAGCATGGGTTCATTCAAGGCTTACGTGGAGCTCGCTGTAGTTGCGTCAGAAGGGTGGATCAGCGAAGGCGGTAAACAGGACATACCGCATTCCTCCAGGTTCGACAGTCACCTCGGCCACCGCAATTGCCGTCGCGGCCGGGAACGTACGCGAATCGACGATCTTGACTGAACCCCCGGCAAGCGGTGTCGTCGACATGTTCGACATCTTGAACGTGAATGGATTCGGCACCTGCCCGTATGGGTCCTCTACCGCTTGCGCATCAGGGGAGGGCGAATCTGTGCACAGCGTTTTGAGTATATGTCGAGGATAGCACATGAAGTTGAGTAAACGACATACTGCCAGGGAAGATGTACAGCTCCTTGCCAGGCAGCTCGTCCCACGCGGAGATACTCGTCCCGAAATTCTTCGCAATCACCTCCTTCGGCGTATGTGCGAGCCAGTCCGTCAGCTGGAATGTCGAGTCGTCGCTAAAGTCTCCGTTGTCAAAGACCTGGAGAAGGTCAGCAGAGCGTTCGTTGTCGAAGAGAGACGGAGGACGCACAAGAAGAAACTCTGCCCCATTGGGATCATCGTTCGTCGCCTGCAGACTGTGCGGAACACCAGGCGGGAAGTACCAGAGATCACCGGGGCCCTTGCAGGTTCGACGGATGTCAGACAGACAACAGGACAGAAAACAGGATCAGATCAGGGTTGGAACACGTACGACGTTGCCCAAGTAATTCCTGCCGTCCTGATCGACCGAGGTGACTTGCATGTAGCCCTGTAATACCCAGACGACTTGTGAATGCAACTTCATCTACGCGATCAAGCCGACGTACGCTGAGCACATATGCCCACTAGTGGAATGACATTAGTACTGTGTGAGGAAAGGTTGGAAGAGGGAACACTAACTTCAGCTGTCTTGTGCCAATGGAGCTCCCTGCATCAACACGTCAGCGATACAAGCCCGGGTGCACAGCATAGCTAAAATTTAAAAAAAGACCAC